GCTAGTTTTGTTCAACCATTGTTCATGTCAGATTATTGCACTCTCTCACAGAAACTGAGATCCACTCAAAATAGCTGCCATCATTGGTCATGCTAGTTTTGTTCAACCATTGTTCATGTCAGATTATTGCACTCTCTCACAGAAACTGAGATCCACTCAACATAGCTGCAATATAAACCATAGGTTAACTGTAGATTGTTGAACAAATAAAAATGTGCCTGATCAGATGTCTACACTAGGGATTGACAAGCCAATCTAGTAGACTCCATATTTTCCTAAGCTTCCTTAGACCAATATAGGCACAGGCTGTTTTATGATAGCTCCCTTAGACCAACATACGTACAGGCTGTTTTATGATAGCTCACTTAGACCAATATCTGTGGGGGAATGGAAATAAAGACTTTACACCCATAGGTGCACTTTTACCAACCCAAAATTAAAATATCAGACAGCTCTTTCCAAAAAATTTGGGGAATTGAAGAAGAAAGATCCGAACCCTCAGATAGATTGGAAAATTATAAGTTTCACTCATACTCCTAATAGTTTTAGTAATAGGTGTGACCTATGTTTAGAAGAGAAGATTAGAATAATAAAATTCAATAATCAAAGCAAAGTATTATATCAAAGGAATAAATTAGTTTTAAAATGTTGTCATAGAGGTAGGTTTAAACTTCTAGAATCATACTTTATTTTTAATTATCTAACCCATCTAATGTTAAATATATTACTATAGTTTTTCTATATTTTGCCTTCTCTATACCAATCTTATCTTATAACTATCCACTACTTTAAGAACTCCTTTTTCTTAGATTACTTAATTCTTTATCCTTATATATTTTTTAATTTTTTTAAAATGTTTTTTTTTGTTTTTTTTTTTTTCTTTTTATATATCACTGGATATGGTTTGTATTAATAATTTAACTTATCTTTTAAATTTTAAATGGATAATATATTTATTGTTAAATTATTTTTATTCATTAATAATATTAATTTTTTTTGTATATTCTATCTAAATATGACTTATTGTTAATCTTGTTATATATCTTATTTGTAAGCCTATTTTAGGTTTTTTTTTTTTTTAGTGGGAATGATTTTTTATATAATTAATAATTAAAACTTTCATTTTATAAAACTCCTTTTTTTGTCCTTTCATTGTTTCACTTCATCTTTCTTAAAACCCCAATTTGGGGTTTTAAGGTTAATATCTGGGTTGAATTTGTGAAGCTTCTTTCCTTTTAAGACATTTTAATTGTCTAGTTCCAACACTGAATACAGTCCACCATCTGGGTTGAATAAGAGTGATGTACTTGGTGTCAGCTGATATAGTCTGTACACATTTCTCCATTGTGTGATTTAATATATATATATAAAAGACTAGTCACATCTCTGGTACAGTTTGTTTGAACTGTTTATCCTTAGGGTGACATTTTAGTTCTATTAGTTCTAGGACAAGGCACTTCAGGAACAGCTTTTATCTTTGGGCCCTGTATAAAATGAATACTTCCACACTGACAATTTTCAACATGTTTTAAAAATGCTACTTGTCTTCATTTGATGTGGGTGTGTGTTTTTTTTCTTCTTTAATTTCTTTTTTTGTGTTGGTGCACCTGGAGACCGTTGTACAATTTCATTGTGTATTACACAGTGAAAAGAATATATATATATATATATATATATATATATATATATATAATGTTTGTGTGTGCATACTTAGTAAGAATTCATTTAAATGATTTATTGAATTCCACTGACTGATAATCTCTTTGATTTTGATATGTAACTATGAAACTGCTTATCTGCAAACTAGAAAAATATGATGAAAAATTATATGGACAAATCTTGAAATCAATAAAATGTATTTGGTGTGCATATGTATATGTGTGTGCATGTACAAACACACACACATCTATAATATAATATATATATATATATATATATATATATATATGAAATGTTAATACTGCTTAGACAATGTTATGAAAAGAGGAAGAATTGTCTTTTGGTATTAGTTCTTTTGTCACTCTTTTGAAGATGAAAGTGAAAAGGCTGGAATTGTTATAATCAGACTAATACAGATGCACACACACTCACATGGATGTGGGTAGAGACTGTGATGAATAGATATTTGTTTCCTTGATATTTCATTTAGTTTAGTCTGACACAAGGCCAAATGGATGTCCGACGTGAGTACCTCTCTGCCTAGGAAGTTAAAATTTGAATTGTTAGCTTTTACCTTGTCTCTGCTAGGAAAGATGCAAGTATCTTAGCCACCAAGTAAAAGCCCATTGATTTGCAACATTTCCTGTTTCTTCCATCAGGTCATATCAACCTTTTTCATTACAATGTCAAATAAACCAGGCTATGTGCTGTTGTTGTTATTTCCACCCCCCTTTTTTTTTCAGACAACATCAATGGAAATGATTTCAGGTTGATTTACTTCCCTGTTTCTAACCAGTGGAGCCAAAGTCTCATCTTGCCTATCAACATTGCCTGTAGGCCTTCATACAAGGACTTTTCTATTGCTACAATTAACAGACATTTGAATTTGTTGTGAGGGGGCGGCAACTGTCTTGTTTAACAAAAATAAAAATTATTTCTTGAAAATGAAAAAAGAAAAACAATTCTTTTATAAAAATAAAATTAGAAACAAAATGTTAGATGAAAAAGAAAATCAATGTTTGAGGACTGCACTGAAAAATTTTCTAAAATATTTTTTAAATTACCAAAAACCCTTAATTTTTTTTTTTTTTTAAAAAAAACCTTTTACAAGTTGAAACTTTTTCTTGCTAATGGGCTCAGAAAGCTATATTTATCCTGATATTGCTGGTGATAGGTAGAAATATTTTGGGGTGCAGATTGTAAATGAAAATGTTTTATAATATTTTTTGTTTTTACTGAAAGACCAAAAAACAAATCACTTGAGAATACCATAAGGTTGAAACAAAGGTAGCGGATTCAACTGACCTCCTTATTTTAAAGTTAAAAGCTCTACATGTTATTTTTACTTATATTTTATTTTTTTCACACATGTATTGAGCACATTTTAATACTACTGTTTCCTGGTCTGATTCAACTCTGACCATTAACCTTATATATATATATATATATATATATATATATATATATATATAAACAAATATATGGATATAGATCCAACAGTATGAAAAAAAATACGGAAAACAAACAAAAATCCTAATATGCAATTATACTGTTTTTAATGTTAATATAATGTCAACGTCGGACGTTTCGTCTAGTAGACCATCTTAAACATATTCATAAAACATAATTAACATTAGACTATATTTAATTCAACATGAAAAGACGATGGACATAAGAGTAAGACTAATCAAAACAGATAACTGAAATTTTTCAATATTTTTTAATATTTCCCCTTTTCTAGCAAGATTAATGTTAGACAAACGTACATATAAATTTTAGATTACATTAAAATTCTTTTCATTTTTCATTCAAAATATTCTATTTTAGGAATACGTTTTCACAACATCGCCCATGTGACGCCGACGTGATCATATTGAAACGGAACGCTGATCTTGAAAAATATCAGTTATCTGTTTTGATTAGTCTTACTCTTATGTTCCTGTCTTATGTTTCATGTTGAATTGAATATAGTCTAATGTTAATTATGTTTTATTAATATGTCCTGAAGATGGTCTACTAGACCAAAACGTCCGCCGTTGACATTATATTAACATTAAAACAGCATAATTGCATATTAGGATTTTTTGTTTGTTTTTCTGTATATTTTTTTCTTCAGATATATATATATATATATATATATATATATATATATATATATATACACACACACCCATGTAAAATGAGAATGAATAGAGTGCAATTCCAATGTTCATAACATTCAATTTAGAGGAGAGCTCAATACAAAGTAGAGAAAAATTCATTATTTTAGGATATTACATCAAAAACCTGATGAGAGGTTTGCATTGAAACATGACTGCAATTGTGCAGTGTTTTTTTGACATGTTTTTGATATAATATCCTAAAATAAAATATATATATATGTGTGTATGTGTGTGTTGCATATATATAGTGTTGATGTTAATAAAGCAGTACTCAAAGAATTATTAAGTATATATTAATAAATATACATATTATCCCTCACTGCTAGCACATCTCTGAGTTTCATGCATGCAGGAGTAAGAAGGAAGACATTATAAATGTAAAAAATTATGAACGGTATTATAAATGTATCAGTGGGGGAGATACCTGAAAATGTACATTTTCTTTTTTTTTTTCATCCAGCCTCATATGTACTTAAGAGGAATTTCTTAATATGTAATCAAGGACTTAAAACTTTGGATTTAAAGTACACACACACACACATATATATATATATAATTAAAATGGAGATTTGATGAATTAGGACCAACATCCTCGTCCAAAGGAAATAAATTATAATATCATGAACCCTTAAAGTTGTCTGTTTCTTAATATAATTAATATTTGCTCTGTTTTTACATTGGGCTCTCTGGATTACATCCTCCTTGGCATTATCCATACAGATTACCAAAGAACTTCATTAACTATATATATATATATATATATATAACATCGTCAGTAAGATTAATGACTTAATGCAAAAGAAATTGATGAAGAATGACAAGTTATAAAAATGTATTTTGTTTAAAAAAAACAAGACTTTGAAAAAGAACAAAAGGAAAAAAAAGAACTTATGAAAAATGTTTACAAGTAAGAAAGATGAAACCAAATGATATTCAAAGAGGATGAGGAAGTGAAAAGATGTTGAGTTAAGGAAATATGATTGTAGATTGAAAAAAAACAAAAAAAATTAAAAAAACAAAGTAAAATCTGAAAAAAAAAGTTTAAAGATTTTTAAGAAAAGTTTGATTTTAAAAAAAAAAAAAAAAAATTCAAAAAAATAATTTTTCAGGTTATTCTTTAATATTTTTTCAGCAGAAATGGCTTCCAAGTTTTAATTTTTTTAAATCACCTTGAAAGGAATGAAAGCAGTGAAGACATTTAACAAATTCAATTTTTTCCTCTCATTTGGATTTTCTTCCATTTTTTTCATTAGTGTCTTTTCAATCATTTATAATCTTTTAGATTCTCTCTGTCGTCCATTAGTAAAGTTTTTTTGTTTTCTTTCTCTCAGTAATGTAATATCTGTAACACTCAGTAGTTAAAGATTAGTTAGATAAAAGATTATATGAACATTTACAAAAAAAAAAACTCAGTGCATTAGTTGCTCACCATAATGAATCTTATAATGTCAAGTTAAAAATGCTACTTTAATTAAGTGTATAGAAAGTGCTTTAATTGCTAAATCATCCACAGTCAATTTGCATCCAGGTTTTCAAAAGATTTCACCTTTCTTAACAGATCTTCTATTATCACAGTGTGGGATACTTAATAATAAAAGTGATAAAAAACCATAAAAGGAAAAGATACTAAATGAAACTGGCTGCCATATATATATATACACACACACACCCACACATAAATTAAATTTTTAAAGGTTTAAAATTTCAGCATTCCCTCCTCTTCTTGTGCATATGTTGTTACATCAACATAAACACCACTAGTCTGAAGTCCTTAATGATGAAATGTCACAAAAAAATTTTACATTTTGTCATTAATTTTAGTGCTGATGTTTTATATATATATATATATATATATATATGTGTGTGTGTAAAATACCATCTACAGAAGCAGTCACGCCAGCCACAATGACAACAATTGGTGAGTCTTCCCCGTTTCCTGTTTATTTCTCGCACCGCTGATGAAGGACACAGGCGTGCCCAAAATTTCAGGACTTAAAATTAAAACCTTAATTTTCGTGCTTCATTTTTTGTCTTGTGATTAGTAATTGGTTAATAATTAATATTTAATAAATATTTTCATACTGATCACATTGATACACTTTCATTTTCACTTGTTTTATTAACCAACCTATTTTACATATATATATATATATATATATATATATATATATATATACCAGCAAGCAGAAATATTTCTTCTCCTGATGATGGCCATTTTGGCCGAAACTAGTCAAGCAATCTAAATGAAATAATAATAAAAAAACGAAAGAATATTAATCTACAACCCAGTGTGTCTGAAGATTTTAATTTTTTAATATTTTTTATTGTTCAAAATATATATATATATACACGTTTCATTAAATAATATAGACAAGTGTTGTCTATTTATTTTATGTAAATTCTTTTCATAACGCCTGATAAGCTTAATAACAAATCATTAAACGAAGAAAGAAAATCACAATATTGATACATATTTTTTAATCCAATCTAAGCTTTCAGCTTACATAAGCCATTATCAAAGATGACAATTACAGTACAATATATTAAGCAATACACGGACAAGAATGTGATGATCGTCTGTTTCTGTTTACATGGATGATTTCTAAGCAACGATAAACACGTGCATATAAGACGCTGAAAGTGAAAATCGCACCGCATCTCATGACGTCACACATGACCACATGAGAGTGAATTTGAGAAGTATTAAGTATGGGAAGCCATTGGTATAAACCAATGGCTTCTGTTATGAATTATAGACATTTAAAGATATTTGTGAAGATTTCATAGTTTATTTTGTTTAGGTTAGGTTTCAACTGTTTTATGTATATAGCTTCAAGAATTTTTAGTTTTTGTTTATTGTTTTCATGTTTAAGTATAGTGGTGTTTTCAACAAGGATTTTCCGGAATTGTGTATGCGGCCAGGCATGTTGTTTTAAATGCCTAAAAATGTTAGAGTTTTCATTCAAATATATATATATAATGTCTATATATATATATATATATATATATATATATATATATATATATAATGTCTAATATAACAGCTATTATTTATATATTAATAAATATTCATATTATCCCTCACTGCTAGTACAACTCGGTGTTTCAGGTACTGAACCTCAGCACCTGAAGATTGCATCTTGCATGAAACTCATAATATAGTTTGCTTATGAAGGAAGAAAATGTGATGCATTTGTACAGATTCAAAGTATTGTTGATTTTAATGTTCTGAACAATTTCTGCACATCAAACACCAAGTTAATTCTCTTATATTTCTCTTAGATTTCTTTACCTAGACTCATATTCTGAGAACTTCTTTAGATTTAAAAAGTCCCACAGCCAAAGAGAATATGAAAAAATATTATCCAAAACATTATATAATTTATTTCAGCTAATTTTTTTTTCATGAGTAAATATTGAAATTAAATTTTTTGACAAATAATTTTCAGAATTTTTTAAGTAAAAATAAGTAAAATAATAAAAAAAAATCATGTACCAAAAAATATGAGGTTACGCAATCTAAGGGAGATGTAAGGAAGGTAAGTCAGTGTTTGATAGACAAAAAATGTTTAGGACATTATAATCAACAACACCTAAAATTTCTGCATTATTGCTGGTGAACCAGAAGTTATCCAGGATTGAACCATAAATTGCCAAGAGGAGTCACAGTGTGTGGTCGGGTGGATGGAAAAAATTGTAGCTAACGGAAGATACACAAGTCAATACCTGATCAGAATCAGCTGGGTCACCGTGAAGAGAGAGTATGATGTAGAAAGACCCAAAACCCCTAATGAACCTTGGCTAGAAACATCACTGATGATGTGTACCAAAGAATCCTATAGCTGTATTTTATGAAATGCTTTTGATATGGGAATTATTCCTGTAGCATTTTCAAACTTAATGTAACTTGTGTTGCTTCCCTTGTACTCAGTTTTGAAATGTAATTTTTGAAGTGGAAAATAATATCTTAAATTTATAGATATCTGAATAACTTTACCATCAGTCGTTTAAAAAAAAAAAAGAAGCAAAAAACAACAATGTACTGTCTTGATAGATTAAGGATCTGAGACAAACATGTCTCTCAAATTTCTGAATTACAGTAGAATCCCTGAAACTGGACTAAGAAGGCCTTCCGGATATGAGGAATTGGCTACAACGTCCAGGTATGAGGGATTCTGGATATGAAGGACACTAAAGCGAACAAGCCAATCACTGATGTTTCCCTATACAGTAGAATCCCTGAAACTGGATTAAGAAGGCCTTCTGGATATGAGGAGTTAGTTACAAAGTCTGGATATGAGGGGTTATATTTAGATTAAAATAAAAGAGCTGAAATCAGGTATATCGTAAACAAAATAAGCTAATGGTGAGTGAAATATAATGGAATTGATTTTAAGGAAAAAGAAATAAATTATGTAATGTTAATAAAAATTCATTAAATTAAGTAAGCCACATATGCAAAACAAATAATGTAACAAGGAGTTTTTTTAATCGCTGTTGCATGATGATTCTTTCTCTTCTAATGTCATTCTCAACTTTTTCCGCATTTCGTTTTTTGTTCTTGAATTTTTTTCAATGAAAGACACTTTTTAACTCTGTGCATTATTGTTATCATCATAGCTGAATGCCAGCTTTCTTTCCATAAAACTGACAAACTTTGCAATAGCTTTTTCAATTTCAGTTCAGGTTTCATCATGATCATGTTTTTTATTTCCTTGTTTATTGTGACAGTGTGAACGCTGGAGAATAGTTTCTTTGGAAGATTTTTTTTTTATACAATGGTGACTTTCCTATGTGGAACTCAGCCATTAGTTACAATGAACTTTCTCCAACATTTAGTCTGTTTAAAATTTCCACTTTTTGCGATAACTCCAAAGTTGTTCTTTTCCTCTTATTCCCATCATCTTTTGCACCAATACAAGCCATTAGGGTGAAATAAGTATAAGCAATTATCCAAAGTAAATTTCCTGAAAAACAGAAATTTCAAATCAGTTCCATATCACACCAAATAGTTAAAATATATACAATAAAATCATGTCCGGATATGAGGGATTCTACTGTATATTTTTTATTTGTTTTTCATTCTCTTTTTTTCACTTAATGATTATTGAATCTGAATCTAACAGACAAGTTGTTAATGATTGCATAAATTGGTTTCGTGATTTCACAAGCACTTTAAAATAACTTTCTGTTGTAACCTAGAGAAGGTTACGGAATAGAATAATTCCATGAAGGTTGGTAATGAACGATAATACTTAGGACGTGAACAACACATATAAGATTTCCTAGCAGTGTGTAGAGAAGTAGTCAACTGCTAGAAGTGGGTCAAATGAATTCCACAATGAATCTCCAAGCTGCAGACCAACATACAGTATTTACTATTGTATTTATGTGAATGGGGACATACCCATCATCATCCATAGATATGCTACAACACTTTCACTAAACATTATTTTTATTCATTAGAATATTTCATAATTTGTAACATAGAAAAAAAAAACATCCTTAGTAACAAAGATTGCAGATATCAAATCCAGTTGGATGCATTCTTGGCTTTTATTTCAAAGTGAACCTTATGGCATTTTCTCATCATTAAGTGTAAATATTCTTGATTCTATACAACAATGAAATTATTAAAAATTATTAAAAAAAGAAAATGACAAAATGAAAGATTAATTGAATTGATTATTGAAGCACTTATTGATTGATCAATGATCAGGTTGAACATGATCATCTTCAGTATTTGCCTAGAGCTGAATTTATTCAGCAACATTTTGAAACGTATCTTGGTGCATTTGCAACATTTCCTATGTATCCATGCATATTATCCTAAGTCGTAATCTTGAGTTGGCCAATTTGCAATTTGATAGAGGCCCAAGCAAATCCGACAGGTGATCCAGAAGATCATTGTCTGCTAATGTTATTCAATGCCAATCCAATGATTTGTAAACTCTCCATTTAGGTAATTCCAAACAATTTTGGCATAAAGACAAGAAACACCATCTTGTAGAATTATTATCTCATCTGCAACAGAAGTGCAAGAAATTCCTGCAACATATCAAGATAAAACTTTTTGCCTAACTGTAGCTTGAGCAAAGAAAAAAAATAAAAATATTGTATTTATTTTGTTACCCCCACCCCATTTCAAACATTTGAAAGCCCCTTGCCTAATAACAGACAAAGTATTTTTGACATTCATATCTGACAATTGTGGTGACTGACTTTCTGTCCACAATTACCCGAATTTTCTTTATATTGACTTAGATTTATTTCCTTGATTATTGAATATTGTCATCTCTTTGCTGAAATGACAAACTGCTTCAATTCAGTGTATTCTTCAATCAAATCTGTGACCCACCCAAACCTATGCAAATATGTCTCACACACACACACACACACACACACACACACACACACACACACTCTTTTCATGTCTACCAGAATGAATAAATTACAGTGCACTTGCAGACTGAAATTAATTGAAAGATGAAACAAATTGGTAAAATCTGTTTCAGTTTATAATAGTCCAACCTTTTTAAGCTAAAATGAATTTTGAAGAGATTCAGCAGAGAGATTCAGCAGCCTTACGCTTGAGTTTTTGCATTTTGTCACTTTTCTCTATTTTTTTTTCTCCTTTTTCTTCTCTATCCTTTTTTAAATTCCTGTAAACATCGCTCTCTCTCTCTCATCCATTCACTTTCTCAATCTCTCACCTGCTCAAACTCTCTCACTCCCTCACCTTCTTGGACTCCCTCACTCTCTTGTACTCCCTCACTCTCTCATCTTCTCACACTTCCTCACTCACTTGCCTTCCTGCACATCCTCATTCGGTTTACCTTCTTGCACATCCTCATTCGGTTCGCCTTCTCGCACTCCCTCACTCTGTTCGCCTTCTCGCACTCCCTCACTCTGTTCGCCTTCTCGCACTCCCTCACTCTGTTCGCCCTCTCGCACTCCCTCACTCTGTTCGCCTTCTCGCACTCCCTCACTCTGTTCGCCCTCTCGGACCCCCCTCACTCTGTTAAGCCCAAAAGAACTCCCTCACTCTGTTCGCCCTCTCGACTCCCCTCACTCTGTTCGCCCTCCAAAGACCCCTCACTCTGTTCGGCCTTCTGCAGACTCCCTCACTCTGTTCGCCCTCCTGACTCCTCACTCTGTTCGCCCTCTCGCACTCCCTCACTCTGTTCGCCTTCTCGCACTCTCAATTACAACTTTTTAAATAGTATTATAAATAAAACTTGTAATGACTCCCAGAAATTACAGAGATGTACAAGAATTCTTAAATGTTATTGTCATGCAATCAAACTTTCAATTTCCTCTTACCTTTCCTTTTAAACATTTTCTTTTATCTGTATCATGTGATTTTGTTTCTCAATTGTCTAATGGACAAGGATTTTGGAGAAATCTCCACAAATTAGACAACCACCACAATCCATTCACTCCATTAGTAGGACGTACTTCCTTTTCTTTTATCGGCTTTTCAAATTTCATGTCCTCAACCCATATATCTGTTTATCCTGCTTTCTTTCCTTCATACATGAAGAGGAATAAAATTTCCTGATTATGGTTTATTGCCTGAAAGTCTGTTAACTGCTTCAAACCATTTTCCTTTATTGATTAACCAAAAGAAAATTCTAGATAATAGAAATTCTTTCTTCGTTTCAGGAATTGAGAGAAAACCAAAGCAAATGATGCAGAAAATGCTGTTAACCAATGCATCTTACTTACATTGAAGTCTTTCTTAAACTTGTTTTATTTGACTTGTACAAGAATTAATATTCTCACCAATATCAGCAGCAAGAATTTGACAGTTTCAATCTTGTGGTCTTTACAAATTGCTTTCTGTTTTCTCTCCCCAATAATTTGCTCTTATTTCCTCAAATGGTGTTATTGAAATGCTGTGTTAAAAACAAGAAATATAAAGATACAAGTATGATAAAAAAAACAAAAACAAAAAACAGAAAATAATTGCAAATAAAATGTCTTTCGTAAAACTTAAAGAAAAGTGGTTTAACACATTTTAACAAGATTCTAAATTATTAACATTTTAAATCAGGTTCTGGATTTTAATAGCTTGAAATTTAGAACCCAGATAAAAATCATGGACTGAATGCTGATTTTCAAGGTAGGCAGACCTTACCCACTTGAGAGATTGGCACAAGATATTTCTAGCCACCCTTTCACCTCATCTTTCACTTAAACCTGTTTTGTTGAATTTGGCAACAAGATCTGTCAATTTTCTTTTACTTGTATTTTTTCCAGTTGACATAAAAGTGGACATTGAATACAACACCAAAAGACAACAGTCTGTTTCATGCTCAAATGCAATCTTCAAGCCTGGCAATTGCATCTGAAACACATTATTTAGGTGTTGACTTCAATGTCTACTTTTATTTTTACATATGCTCTATCCCTGATATTGAGCACTTTAACCTATAAATATAGCATACCTTAAAACTATACTTTATCACACACACATATCACATAATATATATTAGGGACATCTTCGTGTCATTTGAAGTTTCCTCACCTCTATTGCAGGTGTATGCAGACTCTTGAAAAATGATAATTTTACTTTGTTTAGGTGAAACTCAGGACTGCACTTGCAACATTGCTAATTTTTCATTTTTAATCTGGAGTAAAAAAGCATAGCAGAATCTAAGCAATGGGTTACTGAAGCTTATAGTAAGGTGCAAGCATGTTTTGGAATGGTTTGCAAATTTTAAAAGATTTTGAGTTCAGGAATAAAGCACACTTTTTAAAAGTTCAGAAGTTGAAATTTGATAAAGAAGATGTGGCAAAATCAACATGTGAAATTGCAGAAAAAGTGATTGTCAATTCATCTTTTTTTAAATTTGAACTAATAAAATTAGTTCTTTATGAGTAATGAACAGTGGTCAGTGTTTAAACACTTATTTTTTACATTTTTTTTTTTGCTCAGAATATGTCATTTTTAGATAAGGTTTGTTATATTACATTTTTTTGCTCAACATATGACATTTTTAGATGGGGTTTATTTTTATATTACATTTTTTTGCTCAACATATGTCATTTTTAGGTGAGGCAGTTAGTGACAATGATAAATGAAAGTATTATAAAAATTACAAATGAAGAAAATTGTTTAACAATTCCTGACAGCCTTCCTCATTGCTGCAGGATAAACAGATAAATTCCCCATTTTGGGTTTCAAGCAAAAATGGTTTCTTATAAATTACTGGAACCTGGACAAACTGTTATTACAATTGTGAGCAATTGGCTTTCAAATGGGATGACAAAAAGGACATTTTTCTGCATCAAAGTCGATGATTTTGCTGTGTCACCTCACCTGTCCAGGTGTTGCAAATATGATGCACAAAATAGAACTGGAATGCTATGTTCTTGCAAATGCAGGAGATTCTTTAGCACTGTTGGCTTCACAGGGCATCACTCGTTTCATTCATTGTGTTTCATTTGTCTTGCTCGTTGTCTAATCAGCAGTTTTACCAAATCTTTCAAGATAGCAAAAGATTCTTAAAATCAAAAGCTGAAAGTGGTGCTATTGGATAAATCAAGGAAGATATTTTACAACCGATTGATAATGTGATGAATAGGCATGAATGAAAGATTAAAAGATGTCATTGAAAACCTATAAATATGATGAAGTGCTTAAAAATTGTAGGATCAATCCACTTCCTAAAATCTCATCAGATTTTATGAGTGAAATGGAAGGATTCTTGATCAGGCCAAGATCTTTTCAGCACTCTATTTATAGTGATTTACTAAACATAGCTTATATGTGGCACGAGTCACCCAGAGAGAATTGAACTCACTATTCAGTCATAATTGATCTGGCGAGACCATTATCATACCACATCAAAGTGTTCCAGAACCCCTTATATATTATAAAAATATTATTCCCTACTAAATCTAAGTTCTTGTGCCAAACACAAAAACCTAGTTAGTAAGAATAGCAAGTCATAATAGGCACAAAATAAGTTTCAACCACTGCACTGCATAAAATTTTAAAAGAAAAAATTTATTACACATTGAATACTGTTGCCATATATGGTCTGGTGCCCCCACCGTTCATCTCGAGGTCCTCAACAAAATCCAGAGATGGATATGTAATGTGATAGGTCCTAATCTGGCATCTCGTCTACAGTCACTCTCTCACAGATGTGATGTGGCTTCCCTCTGTCTTTTCTACAAATATTTTCATGGCAACTGCTCTGACAAGCTACTTTCACTAGTACCCCAACTGCATGAATTTAAGCATGCTACTAGGTTGGCATCTCCCCCTTTCACTGCTGAAATAGTTAAATTTAACTGCCTCTTCTATTCCAATAGCTTCTCTTGCACTTCCAGGCAGTGAAACTCCCTTCCTCTTATTTGCTTCCCTAATAGCTATAATCTTCAGTGGTTATATCAATTGACATCTTCCAATGTTTTGATCCTGATCCCCATCCTTCTTTACTCTTGCTTTCACTCACTGTAACCCCTTGCATGCTAGTGGCACTCTAGCCTTTCTTGGAGTGAAATGCTTAAAAACAAAAGTACAAAAACATACAAATATGAAGTTTGCACAAATATTTCCTTTCGTGAGCCTATTAAGGCAGGATAACAATTTCTGATAAAAAGGATTACAATAAAAAAAAAAATGGAAAAAAATTTGTTTTAAATTTAGAAACAGACAAGAAAACAAATTCAAAAACAAATAGAAAACAATTCAAAAAGTCAGAAAAACAAAGATGCAACCACCTTTGAGAAAAAAACACACCTACTTTTACTTGCCCAACGGGCGGCTCTGAAACAGTAATTTTAGAAAAGTCCCTTTTTAAAATCACATTGCCCATGCTTGGGTAAATTTCTTTGATTTCTTTTTGGTTGTTGTTGACTAATTACAGGAGAATTTTCACTTGAAATTCAAAATTCATTAATCTCTCTGCAGCAGTAACCTTATGATTTCTTGATGTCAAATGCCTTCTGCTCCTTGATATTGATTTGCTTTGTCTATCCCCTTGCTACCAAAAAAGTTTTCTCCTGCCACCCACTAACATGAGTTCTATATATTTGGACAAATAGATTCACAAGAGTTTTCCATAAACTTGAAATGGATCCTAAATAATTTTGGCAGTTTTTAACCACTGAAACAAAAAAGGTATACAATATTTTTTTTTTTACACGAACCGCCTGGCCTTCATAATAAGGACAGAGTGATATCATACACCTGCAACAACCCCAGAAACCAGGGCAGTAAACCATATTGGTAGCACCAAGCCTTCAGTTTGCTGTGGATATGGGTTCTGTTGATGGATTCAAATTCATGTAGTGCTACTTTTTGCACCTCTTTACCTCAGTGGAATTTCATACACCCATCCGAGGCTTTTCACTGGCTTCTCATTGACTCTTGGGATTGTGTAACCCCTAATGCAGAAGTGAATCTCCCTGACAGAGCCTGTCCAGTGTCAAAAGCTGCTGGTGGTACCAGGGGTGTAAGTACTGCCTTAGCTGCCAAAACTGTTACCTCCCCAATCACATATCTTTCACACATTGTATATATAAAAAAAATATAAACTAATGAAAATATAAAAAGAATAATGTTTTGCTCGAAGATTTATCGTAAAAGTTTTATTTTTACTTTTTAAAATGTTAGTCTTGAATAGGTCTAAGTTTTTTTTTTTAAGTATGCGTTCTTTTGAGAGAAGCTCTGGCTTTACCCAGACCCCGCATAAGCAAGAACAGGCACAAAGCTTGTCTTTGTTGGTCATATCCAAAGAACAGATACTACAATTTGATCATAGATGAAAGATGTTAACAGAATTAAAAAAAAAAAAAAAAAAAAAGTAGAAAATAAAGTGTATTTCTTCTTTGTTTTATTTTTGGTCATATGAATGACACAACCTAAATTTAAGATTTTGCAGAGAAATGTCTTTTTGTTTGGATTCACTGATGTGTAAATGTCAAAACTCATTAAGTTGAAATTAGAACTAAAAAAACAAATTTACACAAAAATTTCTGGCTATATCTTATTGATATTTACTTAGTTTGACACAAGGCTGCAACTATGAAGCATCTTGTGAAAATTGAACTCATTCATTTCAGTATTAATGGCCAAAAATTTTGACAACCTGAGGGGTCTATTTCTGTAGCCTCTGCTGGACACATACAAACAAAGTCTTGTCTATTTTTATTCTTTTTTTTTAATAGAGCAGATAAGAATTTTTAGTAGACACACAAGCTGAATTAAGTATAGTACCTCCTGTAATTAGACTCCACCAGACCGTCAAAAACTTCATTGAGACAGCAATGTTAGCATTTTCGGAACAAAAAAGTTAGTATTCAACTTAGGACGATGT